GTTCTCACACAAATAGCCTACTGATCTATGCCACCTGCAGCCAATTAGTAACAATATTGTTTAAATGACCAAGATAACATTGCTTTCAGATATTACCTGCAAATGTAGAAATTGTCAGCAAAGAGCACTGTTGAGATCTATTTTAGTCCGAACTGTAAAACGATTGATCCAATGTGTCTTTTCTCTGGTACACTTTGTTTTCTGTTCAGCTTTTCACAGAATTCTTTTCTTCACAGAATTACAGTTTTTTACAGACGCTAGGACACATTTCTCAATACTTAGGTCACTTTTGCAAAACTCTTCACACAATCCTCCTAACTGACCGTCAGCTTGGCAAAGCAGTTCATTTCACATTCAAAATGCACTACAACTACCAAAACACTTCATTCAGGGGCTTCTTCGTACGTCGCTTACTACATCCAAGATCAAATGACACATCCAAGATCAAATCATCGCGCTAACCGTGAGCTCGCTAATCCGGTTCCCCGAACACACCTGCTGTTGACGATTACTACAGCTGGATGAAGTAATGTGCGATCACTGGGTGTCGTAAAAGGGGCTACGCATCGATAGCAGAAACAGTGATCGGCAAGCCTCTGATTGGTCGGCGAAAATGTCGAAGGGGCGTGCTCGGTATTTTCCGGCAGCAGAGCAAGAACTCATGAGTGAGGGATTTCAGGAGTTTCAGAGTTTAATTAAAACGCAAGGGAACACTGCAAAGGCTGCAAAAGCAAGGAGAGAGGGCTGGCAGAAAGTTGCTGACAAATCAAACTCGTAAGTAATGTAATAATAACAATAATAATGGAGTGGGTTTATATAGCGCTTTTCAAGGCACCCAAAGCGCATGACAATACCACTATTCAGTCACTTTATTATTTAGCCTATTTATAGATTTATTATATTACACTATATTATCCAATATTATATTACATTATATTATATTGTCATATTATATCCCCTTTCACATTAGAGCCACAACAGGACCCACTAGAACATGGGAACAAGTAAAAGTGAAATATAAGAATATTCTACAGAATGGTAATATTTATCACTTATATTGCTTTTACGTCTCTTGGAAAGAGACCCTGAAATAATCTGTTAGTTTGTTCATAACAGCAACCAAGAAAAGGGCAGAGCAAAAAAAGACAGGTGGTGGTCCTGCACCCCCTCGTCAACAAGTTGGTTAAGTAATAATACCCTCACGGGAATATCGATATCTCTCTATGAGCACACTGTCGCGCTGAGCTAAAGGATCCTGTCTGTCCCGCAATATACGCTGAATTCTGAGGACTCTCCTTATCAATCTTGCACCTTCCGCAATGGGTGGCTCGCGTATACGGACAGGACATGGCTGGACAGGCTTCCCAAATCCACCTTCGCTTTTATAGCCGTGGTCTCTCATCTTGATTACACGAAGTAATTTACAATTGCTACTCTGAAATATGAATTACATCTGTAATAATCACATACATGTAATAGAATGTTAATAGTACATTTCCCTTTTTTAGGAAATGACCTGTATGTATCTGTGTGACATCAATAACAGGATCAAGTGCTGCATTATCTTTAGTTACATTGATGTTATTTATTTGTGGTGAAACGTGGTCGGAATAGTCGCTGTTGCTTTCGTATGATGACGCGGACATACCTGCGTGGCCGCGATCTAATCCTGTTTACATAAAGTAAACCTGCTCCCGAGCAGGTTTACGCTTACGGCTCTGTTGCTATGACAGCAAGTCCCGGATGAGCTTCGGGGAACCGAACGATCCAGGATCACGCGAAATCGTCAACAATCTAATCCGGCTAACTACTTAGCGAGGTACGAAGAACGGGCCCCAGGTCTCAAATAAACTCATTCTTCCAGAACACTAGCAAAGGTTGACAGCCGACAAACACACTTTGTCACCCACAAAACAATGACCTAAAAAACACTAACAACATGTAGCATTACACAGTGTTTTCTTGTGTAAAACAAGGACACATCTCTGTTTATAATTTCAATATATGTTACTGGAATGAATCAGACATCATGCAGAATTCGTTAATATTTGTTTATGTATTTTTATTTTTTTGCACTAAGTAATCCCAAAATACAAGAATTTGTATACACACCATCCACTGATACACATACAATAGTAATGCTAATCTACTCGGTCTTCTCCATTTGGCCACAGGTTCTCATCCACATCACATCTTATGTCATCTAGGGCAATACACCTAGGAAAGAATCTTCTGGCTGCCAGAATTGAAGGAGTTGAAAAATTGAAGGAGTAACACCTGTGTAGATGTTCATCTACAATGAGAATCAGCTGTGGCTGGTTAAACTGCATTTTTAGATTTAAAATATGTTTCAATAAAATATTGCTGTTGGATTTTGCTGTCTTTTCAAGTTTTGCATTGTGTTATTGTTTTGGCCATAAGTTTAACAGTTTTGAAAACAGTATGTAAGCACATGCAAAATGTCCTGTACGTACAAAGATTTTTGGCAGTTGTTGTGTCTGAGTGAGAAGATAATTCATGAAATTTGAGAGATGTAGTCATTGAATGCATTTTGTGCCAAAACAATGATAACTGGTCCTCAGTTTAGCCCACATAGACTTCTGTTGTGCTCACTGTGTGAGGAGTTTTGCAAACGTGACCTAAGTATTGAGAAATGTGTCCTAGCGTCTGTAAAAAACTGTTAAGATGTATTAGCAGTGCAAGTAATGTTAAGTTACACAAACCTTCCACACACATTTTTTTAAGACTTCTGCCACAATGGGCTCTAAATGGGTTCTATAGAAAAATGGGCCAACACAAAGCATAAATGACTGATTCATCCTTTGAAAAATAGCATTTATTTAGGGTGCTCACAGTAATGCAGAATAAATAAACTATTGTTTATCTTTTATTTAAGCGCAAGATTTTTTGCTTTACCACTAAACCACGTTGTATTTGTTAGCACTTAAAAAAAAGTGTATGTATAAATATTCTTTTCCCACTTTATTTCAAAGTGCTAGTTTCCCATATTTAACTGGTTCACCTCACAGAGTAAATTAAATAAGTATACCAAAACAGGAGATGAGGTGTTTGAGAGTTTGCTTTTAATGTAACGCGCGGCGACACTAAAGCGGTCGCGCCAGAATGTCACGCTAAAAAGAAAGATTCTTTAAAATACAAGGGGGAGCAAGCGAGTCAGATACCACGGGCACAGAGAGGAAGCAGGTCTGATCAGAAACAGTTTATTACTAGGCCAGGGAGCACAAATAAAAACACCCTTAAAATGTACGTAATAAAATGTTGTCTCTACTAAAACAAAAACAATTCTAAAACCCGTAAAACTACCATTTTCTACATTCACTAAAACCCCCCCTGCTATAATTATGCCACATGTTCATTATGGGTCCATCAGCAGGCCAGGAATTCCTTCTTTAGAGCAGAGTCCACGCCAGCCTCGTCTTCGGCAGACAAGAAAGAGCCTCCCATCTTCTTGTCCTTCCGCTGGCCCATCACTTCCCAGCCCGGCTTGCGTTCTGCACCCGAATCCATCATGCGACCACCGCCACAGCTCCCCTTGCGTCGGTGTCCTGACAACATAACAAATAGGGGCCAGAACAATGGTCCCAGAAGCGGCCCTGGCTCATGGCGACCCTCTCCCAATCCAGCTGCACTCAGTAAACAACAGTAGAGACCCTACACAAATGCAGGCAGAGGTAAACCTCTGCCCTGCTGCCAATCACACGCGTTGTCTCTTACTGTTGCCGTTCCATGAGGTCGGGACTGAGCCGCCGCGTCACGCTGACCGGCTCACATTAACCTTCCAGTCTGGGGCCTCTCTCCTTCAGTGCTCAGCTAACCTGTTTTTAAAAGGTCTTTACACAGCTGATAGGCCACCTCCGGACACACCCCTGCCTCAGCAGGTGGTCCCTATCAGCTAATTTGTCCCATGTGCCGCCAGTCCACAGTGGATAAAAACCATGTCACATAAAACAACACTCATAAATAACCACTAAAAATCAGAATAAAAACAATATGCAAGATAAATACAAATTTCCACTGTGTGACATTAACACTGTCACAAAATATTTTCTAAATATATTATACATAAAATGCTTCTAAGTTTGTTTGAACTCAGTCATCACATTTGATGTTATCAGCCAATAATCATGAACCTTTAATTCTCTAAATGTAAATCCCAAGTATTCATCTTATTTTATTCAACCTTTATTTAACCAGGAAGATCCCATTGAGATTAAAAACCTCTTTTTCAAGGGAAACCTGGCCAAGATAGGCAGCAGCAAGTATCTCACGGTTACAGAAATTACACAATTAAACACAGACAACAACAACACACTCAAGCAAAAATAAAAAAATAAAAAAATAATAAAATAAAATTTGATAAAATTACAATTATTATATAATTTACAGTGACAAGCAATCCAATTGACACAGTTTCATGTTATGGAATTGCCTCAAGGATTCTTAGTTTAGTTTTAAAAGCACTTAATGAAATTAATTCTTTCATTTTCCAGTCGCTCTGCAGCTCATTCCAAAGCCAAGGATGCTAAATAGACAAAAGCTCTTTTGCTAAGTTCAGTTTGGGCAAATGGAAAAGAATGCAACAAGTAACATTGCAGACGAAGAGAATAACGACCAGCATGTTTCATTGCAAGCAGGAAACATGTATAGGAAGCCAAAAATCCAAGTATTGCCTTATATATAAAACTGTGTAGGTGAGAGTTCCTCCAACTGGCCAAAGCAGGCCATCCTACCTGAACAGTATAAATGGTAAATGGCCTGTATTTATATAGCGCTTTACTAGTCCCTAAGGACCCCAAAGCGCTTTACATATCCAGTCATCCACCCATTCACGCACACATTCACACACTGGTGATGGCAAGCTACATTGTAACCACAGCCACCCTGGGGCGCACTGACAGAGGCGAGGCTGCCGGACACTGGCGCCACCGGGCCCTCTGACCACCACCAGTAGGCAACGGGTGAAGTGTCTTGCCCAAGGACACAACGACCGAGACTGTCCAAGCCGGGGCTCGAACCGGCAACCTTCCGATTACAAGGCGAACTCTCAACTCTTGAGCCACGATCGCCCTATAACTCACATTAGTGAGTCTGAAACTTACGATTAGTGATGAACCTTAGAGAAGCATGAGAGACAGTATCAACCATTCGAAGACATTGAGCAGAAACATTCAAATAGAGAATATCTCCATAATCCAGCACAGGTAAAAATGTTACAACAACAAGCCACTTCTTTGTATAAAAAGAAAAAGATAGCTTATTTTGAAAATAAAAACTCAGTTTTACTTCAGACACACAAAAGTTTAAGGCCATCTTTTAAATCATGCTTATCAACATATCAATTTAGTGACATATTGTGTCTTAACAGATCCAATTCAGTTTTTTGAGCTGGAACCTGAAGACAGACATTCACACCTATGTGCAATTTAGAATCACCAATTAACCTAATATCACTAACAGCAAGCCTTTGAACTGTGGGAGGAAGTCAGAGTATCTGGAGACAACATTCAAACTCCACATAGAAAGATCACGGCCAGGTGGTGGATTCAAACTCATGACCTTCTTGCTCTGAGACAACAGTGTCAGATAAATAACCAAAAATATCAAATGTTCAGATATTATTTGCAGATACAGAAAGTGTTAGTTGTAGCAGCACAAATGTCAGTCCAGATCTCTTTGAAAATCACCAGCAAGTTACCTGGAGATCTTTACACAACAGTCATAATTAATGACTGAATGACTTTAGTTTTGTGCTTGTTATATACTTACTTATACTACTTGGAGATTGTGTATATATATGTATATATATCCATTTTCAGCTTTATGAAAATAATCAGGTAATAATAATAATTAATAATCAAGAGCCAAAGCCTAACTTAATACCTTTATGACAAAAATAATAATTTTGAAACAGAAGAAACTAGCAAAATGTAACAAAACAGTCAAAATTAACAATGAAAATCAAATGTTTTTACATAAAATTATACACACAAAAATGGGAAAAAGAAGTCTATATGAGGTTTCAAAGAAATGTGTAATGTTTTCAAACTCAATGTGACCTTTCTCCTGAGCTCTCCTTCCACTCTATACCTTGTTTCCTTTTCAGCTTTTATCTGGACTTTCTTCTTGTCAGCACACTAAAAGCCACTGATTGAACTGAGTCTCTCAAAGTGATTCCTGTCCTGTACACTGCAAAACTTTGAGGTTGTGGAGGGACCACCTATGGATTGAAATTGTACGTAAACTTAATCTTTAAAAAGAAAAATAGCAAGCATGAAGGTAGGTAAGAGAAGATATGAGTTGAAACACTTGAGAAATGAAAATCTGAGTAATAATAAAGTTCCTCTAACCTTTCCTTCCAGCTGAACATGATACTGTACAAAACTCAAGATCTCGATCTCATGAAGGTCGTGGTTCGGGGTCCTGGAGCAGAATCTAATGAAAAATAAGTCAGAACTTTATATATGACTTATATGTTTTTTTGTTTGTTTAGGGGCTTTTTTAGAGATTTGTTTTCTCATGTATTCAGCATTCCGGGTGTCTTTTTGAACTAATTTCCTGTGTACCAAGTCTTGATTTACAGCTGTGAATATCATCAATTTGGGGAGTGCATTTCAGTAGTTTTGTATGTTCCAGTAAAATCTTTTCCCCAAACCGAGACACCATATAAGCTCTGGTACCAAGACTCAGTGCTTCTTCTGTGTTTTTAACCTTTCATGCATGAATTATGACAACCTCGAGGCATGAAAAAAAGAAAAAATGTTCATTTCTTTCAACATGTCCTATTCAAAGAGTTTTTTACATGTCCGCTTTGGTGGACAACATACATTTTGAGTTGTGAATTTGACAAATGAATAAATAATATACAAAAAAATAAAAATATTTTAAAATACATTTTAAATATATTTTATAACAATATATAAAAAAAAATATAACCCTGCCACCCACTGGAAGAACTAAAGGTACTGTTCTAGTTTCAGAGTGGAAACATGAACGTTGAATGTGTACCACAAAGAAAATGTCCCCAGAGTCAGTGAATAACTCTGAGCACTTTAACCACTTTTACCACTTCTTCACGACTTTCATTTCCTTTTCTCTCTCTCAATGTATACAAAAAGGGCCAACAAAAAGCACAGAGGGTGATTCAAATCTTTAGAAGTTTACAGTTCTTACAGAAATAAAAAAAAAATGTAAACTTAAAAAATAAAAACTATTTCAGCTCAAACTTGATAATTCTGGTGTTCTTCAAGCCTTGAATAAATTTGAAGGAAAAATAATAAAGTATCTCAATATGAAATGATAAGTTGGTGAGTAATAAAAGAAACTACATACATCCAGACACATTTATTTTGTGTTTTATTTTTTATTGAACACACTCGCTGTCGATGGATGCAGTTTTGGTATTTTGCTCCATCACAGTTTGCCATGTTTACTGGCAGAGCTGGAAGCGATGAGAGATTTTTCAGCTGCGTTCTTCTTCTGGTATGAACATTCAGCCTGTGGCTCCTAATATAGTGATATTATTATTTAGTCTTTTTCTTATTTGGTGCAGCCTCCAAACGTTTCAAAACCTGGTCATAAAAATAAACTAAACTGCATGGTCAACGTGATTTTTTTTTTTTTTTAAATTCGGGCAGACACAATAAAAAATGGTCTTTGAGCTTCATGGTTGAATCAGTCTTACAAATACTGACAACGATTCTACAGCCAAACAGAAAAGAGCTACGTTCATGCATTCATCATGAAGATTTTCTTACCTGCAGAGGAAGACAGCTAGTGTGATGCCACATAAAAATAATCCAACTGCCGGTGGGAGTATGTGTAGAAGATACTTTGATGAAGTGGATTCTGTATAAAACAAAAAAAAACCCAGCAGTGAATTCATTTAAATTGGTTATTGAAGTGATTGGCAGTGTTTTTTGTCCTACCCACCTTTTAGGTTCTCAGACACAGTTAAGTTCCATGTAATGCTGCATATGCCACTTCTGTCTGTTATCTTACACGTATAAAGTCCTTCATCTTCAGGTTGAGCACTAAAAATAATGAGCTTTGTGGGGAACTCGTGATTTAATTTTTGTCTGTGAAATGAGAAATTTGAATGTGTGCGATTCAGCACAATGGAATAGTGAAAAACAGATCTTTTGCTGGTCCAGGTGATTAGTGTTGCATTTTTCTCAGATATATTGCAAGTCAGCATCACTGAGTCTCCTCTGAACGCCAGCAAAGCTCTGTGGTCGTCTTTAAGAATCTCTAAAGTTAAAGGAAAATAATACATTTACAATTATACTTGGATGAAGTGGAATCTGCATTAAATCAGAAGTTAATTAATTTAAATTTCTTGGTTGACCTTTACTAAAAGTGATTCATCTGCCTTTTTTTGCTACCCACCTTTGGGGTTCTCAGACACAGTTAAATTCCATGTAATGCTGTTTACGCCATGTCTGTCTGTTATCTTACACGTATAAAGTCCTTTATCTTCAGGTTGAGCACTAAAGATAATTAGCTCTGTAGGGAACCCATGGTTTATTTTCAGTCTATAAAATGAGAAATTTGAAAAGTTGCGATTCAGCTCAATGGAATAGTGAAAAACACATCTTTTGTTGGTCCAGGAGATAAGTGTTGCATTTCTTTCAGATATGTTGCAAGTCAGCATCACCGAATCTCCTGTGGACACTAGCAAAGCTCTGTGGTCGTCTTTAGCAATTTCTAAAGTTTAAAGGAGACAATCAGTCAATGTAAAATTATATCTGCATTTAATCTACTTAAAACCCACACAAATGTGCTCTTTACCTGCAAAGACATGCCACATCACTAACAGCTGAATGAAGAGTAGTACCACTCGTTTTAGCTGGAATATCATGACTGCAAGACAGAGAGGGAAACAGACCTGAACTTTACTGTCAGCTTTATGTGTATCTGAGGAAGAGCTGTAAAAAAAAAGAGGAAGTGGTTTGTTGCAGTTGAAACTCAACACAAATGTATGTGAATGATGTTTTTTGAGAAAATATTTTGAAAGTAATATATACAATATTTCAGGTTCACAACAAATTGTTATTGTTCAAACATGGAAAGTGAAGTGGGAATATAATTATACGACAAATAATTGTCTCCTATACTTTAATCACTCATGTGACTCACTTGTGTAGAGAGGCAACTTTGAACTGCAACACTATATCACCACCTCTGAAAATGACACCTAAACACTGTGGTGTGCTTTATATTGTAAAGTTGGACTGATTGGTTCACTGCAGTAAAGACTGTGTACTTCACACAGTTGTGAAATTTCAGAAAGTTTGATTTTTGAAAGAAAAATGAAAGGACCCAAGGTTTCCCAAAGTTAGATATATCAATCACCTCTACCTTACTACAGACATTTCTTCTTTTCAGTGTCTTCCTTGGCTGATTCATTCTTTTAAAAATACAAATAGTTTGGGGTGCTCACTAAATTAATATATTTATTTTATAATTGGAGAATTTCTCGAGTTTGAATATTTTATAAATAAAACGAAAGTTCAATTTACCCATTTTATCTGCAGTTCATCATACATATTATTTATTAGTATTTTTATTTTATTTTACTTGTATTTTTTAACACTGTACCTCAAACTCTTGTTATAGTTTCTTATATTTACAAGCACCCCCAAAATTTGCAGACTTGCACAGAGATGGTAAAACTCTGATGACTGATAATGGAGATGAAGACAACAGATGACGAGGACAGGGAGGAACAGGGGTTTAAATGCACCAAGGAGACAGTCAGAGAGAATTCGGGACAACTGGAGACATTTAAGGATGCAGGGACTGACAGAGACAGGGAAGAAGTCTCATCGTGACGAGTAAAGTTTATCTTGCCTGGCTGGGCAGTTCTCTGGGTGCTCAGCACCCTCAAAGCTCTGATCCTAGAATCGCCCCCGCCTGCCACGGGGTGAGCCGCCTGGAAAGCCATTTCCCGGCAACTTTGCAGCACCAACAACTGCGGTGTGTCTCCTCCATGCGAGTGTCAGGCAGGGGTGGATCTAGAAGGGTGGCATGTGGTGGCAAGTGCCACCCTAAAATGATCTCTTGCCAACCAAGTGCCACCCTAGTTTTGCATATGACAGTGTTGATTTTTAAAATAAAATAGCCTGAACATTTTGAGCGTAGTTACAGTTAACAGTGTATAGAAATGCTAAAACTGAATTTATTGCATAGTGTTACCCCCCTCCACAATTAACAAATGGTTCAGCCCATAGCAACCAGCTCTTTTCTTGTTTTCAGTAGCAACCAATGCTTATGATTGTGCCAGAGCACATTTTGAACAACACCATGGGGATTTCAGATTTCACACAGGTGGTTGGTTGTTACACTCTGGAAATGGAATGAAGGTGAGTGTTATTAACCCTCTGGGGTCCACAGACACGCTGCACCTCCAAATCACATGACTGATTTAAGCATAGCAACAAGGTGCAGCCACGCTGAGTCTCTATTTCAGCCCGTGTTGAAAATTCGGACTGTAAAGTATACACCGGTTTTTACAATTTAATTACACCACATTTAATCAGGGCCTTCAGAAGGCCCTGAGTAAATGTGGTTATCCCAGCTGGACTTTTGTCAAAGCTGGGAAGGCACCTAAAGAAAGCTCCAGCCGATCCAGGAGAGAAGGACAACCGCTGCCCAAGTGAAAACCTGTAGAGATCCCATATGTGTCAGGAGTATCGGAGCAGTTGAGACGCATTTTTTCTAAACACCGGTTCTCTGTGGCTTTTAAAAACAAGCTGCGCCAAAAATTGGTCCACCCCCAAGGATAGAGTCCCCCGACACAGAGTAACATAGTGTACGCTGTTAAGTGCCAGGAGGATTGCCACGATTTATACATCGGGGAAACCAAACAACCTCTGGCGAAGTGGATGGCACAACACAGAAGAGCTACCTCATCAGGCCAGGACTCTGCAGTCTATTTACACCTACAGGCCAGTGGACACTCTTTCAATGATACACATCTTGGACAGGGAGGAACGCTGGTTTGAGCACGGAGACAAGGAGGCCATTTACGTGAAAAGGGAAAGACCATCTCTGAATCGAGGAGGGGGCCTAAGGGTACATCTTTCACCATCTTACAATGCTGTGATTGCAGCCATTCCCCAACTCTCTGTGAATGGTACTCATGGCCATTGGTCAGTGGTCTTTGATTAGTGGGTTTTGGTCAGTGGTTGTTGATCAATGGTCATGAGAATTTGCATAATTAGGCTGGTTTCAGTCATTATGCAAATCCTCTTTCGAGGATGCCAATGTTCACATTTTGGACAGAGAGGACAGATGGTTTGAAAGAGGAGTGAAAGAAGCCATCTATGTCCACTGTGAGCGACCATCTTTGAACAGAGGCGGGGGTTTACGACACCAACTCTCTGCCATCTATAATCCAGTTTTGAGATCCCTTCCCAGACACCTTAACGCCCACTCACATCCTGGGCCATCTGACCTCAGGAATTCGCATGATAAGGTGGGACCAGGTTTCACAATCCCGAAACTCTGGCTGATTGGGACCCACACCCAGTTACACACCTTGGCTCAGGCGATTAGAGGATCATCAGGGGGTCCTTTTGTCCCTCTGTGGGGGGATACTCCCACTAGGTTTATATCTGGGACTCTCCACCATTTGACCTTAGAACTGAAGAAGCTTCTCGGATGAGAGGTGAAACGTCTTCAAGCAACTTAAAGAAGTCCAGACGCTTTTCTTTGCAAGCTCCTTTGACTACGATGACCTGGATGACTGAGAACCTTCACAGTCATTATGCAAATGTACTGTTTACAAGATTTGGGGAAACCTGCTGTCAGCTGAGACTGAAAAAGTCACTTGGATGAGTGACGAAACGTTTCTCCCACAAGACGCTACGTCCAGATGAACAGAATCAACTTTTGGAGAATATAATATGTCAGTCTTAAAAAGTCACTTTAAAATTTGGAGGTTGATTTAAGGCACAGTGTCTATCTGTAATCTCGCCACTAGATGTCAGGAGATTGCAGATTGCAGTCAAATTAATTCTGTGTTCTTACTCCTCTCATTTCAAGTGCAACTGGAGGGGTAGTGTGAATGCTGTAGCACAAATACTCGACCACTGCTCATCTGCAGTGATTCTACCAGAAGGAAATATTTAAAATCCAAAAGATTATTGTTTTATCTTTGTTTTTATTGGATATGCTGCAAGTCAACATCACCAAGTCTCTTCTTGACAATGACGCAACTCGTCTATAAAAATATCTACGATCTAAAGAAAAAAATTAATATAAAAATACAAAATGTCAAAACAGAATAACTAAACTCCAAAAATATACATTAACATAAAAAAAACTTTTGTTCGTTTGCTATTTATTACTGAATATTTAAAGAAACCTTACTAAGCAAACATGTACTACATCCACATTAATGAACTATATAAAATACAAATAATTATACTCAAAATTATTGCAAGTATATTAAAAAGCAAAAGTCTGCACTTTGCACTTTATTTTTTCTGCAGTGAAACTTCTTTAAAAATGCTTAGAAACAACAAAGCAAACAAAATAAATAAATAAAATTACAACACTGTTGTACAACACTCAGAGAGAGACCTGCCTTGGTGGAGTTCTGAATTTCCTGAGGGCTTATTGTAGGAAAATGGTTTAGGGAGCTTGAAGTCCTGTATAAATAAATATACTTGACACTCTAAAGACATCCACTATGCCCATTCCCTGCTCACATTTTAATACTTGGACTACTGAAACCGGATTCACAGTTTCGAATACTGACACTGCGCTTTGGTGCAGACCTGCAGTTTATTTAGTTTAGTTCTCTTCATCTTCCTTTGATGCAAACTTTCTCCTAACTGGGTGCTCCTTGTGAACACACAGATTGGATGGGAGTGGTTGGAACTGCTCTATTCGTGGCCAGAGATGTGTTTCTGAGTTGAAGAGGATATTGTAGCCCTGTTGTCCTCCTGCTTCCCTGAAAAACATCCATGTCTCTGTCAGGGTCCTGGGTCTGAGCGACCCAAGGACCCTGAGCAGTTATGGAGTAATATTATAATGTATGTATTTTGTATTGCTGTCCCTCGTTCCCTCGTGTGTGTGTGTGTGTGTGGCCCTGGCAGGTGATTGGCCACACCTGAAGACCTTGACAAACCTGCAGCTGATCAGGCCTGTCGGAGGAGCTACTTGAGAGTGTGGTGGAGCTCTCTCCGACGCTGGATCATTGCGTGGCTTCACGTTAATCTCTCGACCAGTTCCTAGTTTGAGTCTGCTGCATTATTGTGTGTCTGACGGCTTCCTCTCTCTTATGTCCCCAGGAGTTGTGGGGAGACGAGAGGA